TGCGGTATTTTATCACTCCCTGAAACACAAAGGGTACAGAGATAAAGGCAAAGTGAAGGGCAAGTGAAAAAAGAAACTAAGCCAAAACATTTAGAGAAGGAAATAGCAAGTCCTGTCTTTATTTAGCATGGGACTAGTCATTAATTAAGTCAATCTGCCTCTTAAAACATCACTGGTCATTACAGAAATGCAAATCAAAACCACAATGAGATACCATCTTATGCTAGTTAGAATGGTGATTATTAAAAAGTCAGGAAACAACAGATGCTGGTGAGGCTGTGGAGAAATAGGAATGTTTTTACACTGTTGGTGGGAGTGTAAACCAGTTCAACCACTGTGGAAGACAGTGTGGTGATTCCTCAAGGATCTAGAACCAGAAATACCATTTGATCCAGCAATCCCATTACTGGGTATATACTTAAAGGATTATAAATCATTCTGCTATAAAGACACATACACATATATGTTTATTGCAGCACTATTTACAATAGCAAAGACTTGGAACCAACCCAAATGCCCATCGATGACAGACTGGATAAAGAAAATGTGGCACATACACACCATGGAATACTATGCAGCCATAAAAAGGAATGAGTTGATGAGCTTTGCAAGGACATGGATGAAGCTGGAAGTCATCATTCTCAGCAGACTAACACAGGAACCGAAAACTAAACACCACATGCTCTCGCTCATAAGTGGGAGTTGAACAATGAGAATGCATGGACCTGTGGAGGGGAACATCACACACTGGGGCCTGTCAGAGGATAGGGAGCAAGGGGAGGGAGAGTATTAGGACAAATACCTAATGCATGCAGGGCTTAAAACCTGGATGACAGGTTGATAGGTGCAGCAAACCACCATGGCACATGTATACCTATGTAACAAAACTGCATGTTCTGCACATGTATCCCAGAACTTAAAGTAGAATAATCAACAAAACAAAAACTTCAGCCCTGGGGATGGGCATTGTGGCTCATGCCTGTAATCCCAGCATTTTGGGAGGCTAAGGCTCAGGAGGTGGGGACTGCAGTGTGTTGTGATTGTGCCAGTGCACTCCAGCCTGGGTGACAGAGTGAGACCTGTCTCAAAAAAACAAAACAAAACAAAACAAAACAAAAAATCAAAACCTTATCCCACGAGGATGAAGTAAGTTATTTTTACCTCTTCATCAGAGGGCATTCCAGTGAGCAGAGCCACTATACTTTCCTTTATTATTTTCTTTTCTACTTGGAACAGTTATTGCAATAATACTGGCAAGTTTCCCAGAAAGTAGATTATTTCTCCAAAGACACACTTTCTCCAAAGATTTTTTTCTTTGACTACATAACTTACCTATCACTCTACCCACTGCTATGCACCTTTAAACTGGGTCACCAGGTTCTATTCTACTTCCCCACTTCTCCCTCACATTCACCAAAGCCACTAAACCAGACAGTGGAACACAAAATTAGAATGGATGGTGGCGGTGGAGAGGAACCTGTAGCTGTGAAAAGAAATAAATTTCTGGAAATTTATATCTCATTAGTTAATAGATATCACTTCTCCACAAATGACAAGATGGTCCCT